TGAACCATAGTCGACTACATGGGAGTCCAGCGACATAGCTATTACGCTAACTGCTGGTTCCCAGAATCCAATTCTTTTTGATCATTGAACTTGTAGCCTTCCTCCTCTCATTTGTGTATGTGTTGTCTTTTTTATTTTATTTTATTTTATTTTTTAAAGACAGTGCCTCAGTGTGTTGCAATCCTCCTGTCTCAGCCTCCTAAGTAATTGGGACTACAGGTGCCTTCTGTGCCCGGCTTTTTTTTTCTTTCTTTCTGTTCGGGCAGACTGGGAATTGAACACTGATACCCCTGCCTCCATGTGGATGTAGCCTGCTAGTCAGCAGCACCCAGCGTAAGCTTCCAGGGCCAAGCAATCTCCATTTTTGTTTTTCTTGTTCTGGTGCCTGATTTCGTTCTACCTTAGTAAGTGTTTAAAATTCATCATTTGAATTATTTTTACTTGAGCCATACAGAGATTTGACCAGTAGGACTTTTTTTTTTAGAGGTTTTTCCCGTAGGGCTTGTGCGCTCACTGGAGAAGAGACAGAGACAGTGAGAGGGAAAGTGAGAAATCACCCCCTTCTCTCCTCAGGATCTTGGGCATGCATGCACAGATGCCCAGCGTGATTCAAGCCACTGAGCCCGGGACTTGAACCACGGTCAACCACGTGGGAGTCCAGAGATACACCCGCTACGCCACCTGCTGGTCCCTGATCAGTGGGACTTCTAAGGGCAACATTTTTTGCAGCATTACCAGCAAGGTGCTTTCCTTTAGTGTCCAAAGATTCTAATGTCAAATGGCCTGGAATTTGAATAACGGTCAGAGCTGCGGGTAACTGAATGACGCCTGGCCAGTCTTTCATGTACGGCCCATTCTTTGTTTTGTCTCCACTGGAAGTGGACGTGTTATGCCTCCATAACATTCGCAAAACATTCGCTCCAGATGCCTACGTGCTATCTGCATAGGTACTAGAACCTTCCTCGTTAGCAAGCCGGCAGGCTCGAGTCAGGACAGATAGCTGTGCCTGGTACTCCAGCAGCGGAGAATGAAGTAGCTGCCCTTACAGCGTGGAAGTGACTGCTCGTTACTTGCAATGTCACGTCTTTGGTGTGAGCCATTTGTGAACCGGGGTAGCACAGCCTTGTCTAAGGGAGTTTCCTGCAAGGCCTTTGGAGGAGTTAACAGGTGATTCAGGGCCGGCTCATGGCATGGTTGTTAAGGCAGCCAGATCCTACATGACTGATTATATGGGTTTGAACACCAGACCTGGAGGCTTGAGAAACACTGCATGCGTGCCCCAAGTCCCAAGGAGCGCGAGGTGGAGCAGAGGCACTGTGGTGTGACCATTCTCCACGGGGTGTTCTTTCTCCTCTCCCTCTGCTACTTTCTAGCTACAGATGTGTCCTCTAGCAAAAAAAAAAAAAAAAAGTGTTCTATTAAAGTCTGATGGGGCCAGCAAGTAGTGTGGTAGTTAAAGGCTGGACTCTCACATGGCCAACCATGGTTCAAAGCCTGAACCTGGTGGCTTCCTTTCTCACTTTTCCTCTCTCTCTCTCTGTCTCTCTGGTCAAATTGGAAAATAATAATAATAATAAATAAAGTTAAAATAAAATGATTTTTTAAAAATGTTAGTCATCTGGCATCTTGTCCAAGGGAAAAGGAGGAGGGTCTCCAAGCTGAGATTTCATAAGAGGGGAGCAACTAGCGGAAGGTGTTGAGCAGGATGAGAACATGAAAGAACTTCCCCAGGGGTCAGCAGGTGGTGTGATAGTTAAGGTGTCGGATTTCCACATGGCTGACCATGGTTCGAGTCTCTGACCCAGTGGCTTGAAAATCATGTTGGGCACGTTGCACGTGTACACAAAATCCTGAGAAGAGAATGGAGGAGAAGAGGGTGTAGAGGGTGTAGTGTGGCCGTCTCCCGGGAGGGAGGGGTGATTTCTCACCTCCCCCTTCCTGTCTCTCTCTGGGCTAGTGCACGTGCCTGATAGCAAAAACCTAAACAACAACAAAACAAGACAAAACGAAACAAAACCCCACAGAAACCACTTCCATAGCATGGAGCACAGAAAGGGTAGGGCCAGCAGGCGGCACAGAGGTTAAGGCAGGTGGGTCCCATGTGGCCAACTGAGAGGTTTGACTCCCAGACCCGGTGGCTTGAAAATCACACTGGGCATGTGTGCATACATGCCCAAAATTTGAGAGGAGAATGGAGGAGAAGGGACTGTGGCTATCCCCTTTGGGAGGGGATGTCTCACTGTCCCTCTGTCTCTGGTGAGCACACATGCCCTATCGCGCAAACAAACAGCATGGCCTGGGGAGGTCCCATGACTATTTCTGTGGTGGACTTGGCCAACAGAGGGTAGCAGGAACTGCGTTCGGACCAAGGAGGTAGCCGAGGGCAAACAGGCCCAGGTGCTGGCCACGGTGCCTTACCGGCGATAGCTCGATGCTGTTGAGTTCAGACTCCAGGGGCATTTCTTTCCTTGTCATACACAAAGAGGAAGAATGGGAGTTGATAATTAGGGTGGCCTAAGACTGGGAGATTTAATAATTGCTTTTTTTAATCTATCAAAAGCCACATCATTAGGGACTGTCCAAACAATGAGGTCAGATTTGGTGTGTTTTAAAAAATATATATTTATTTAATTTTATTATTATTATTTTCAATTTGCTATAGGGCACACGTGCTTGAGAGAGAGGGAGAGAGAGAGAGAGAGAGAGAGCGCCTCCAAGTTTTGGGACTTGCGGACTTGAATTGCAGTTGGTCCTGTGGGAGTCCAACGCCTTAACCACCACGCCGTGTGCTGGCCCCCGGATCGGTGTCTTTAAGGAAAGCATGTAAAGTTGAGGGTCCAGTTGTGGCCATGACCCATGAACCTGAGAACCTCACAGAATTGGTGAAAGGATTTCAAGTCTCCCAGTTGCCTTAAGGAGTGGAGAAGGTCAATTCAGTGTCTCTGTCTCCCTGGCACCGGGTTGTTCAGTGTTACACCGACACCTTAATGGGGAGGTGTTTTAAAACTCCCAGATGCTGGGACCAGCAGTTAGCATAATGGCTATATCACTGGACTTCCATGTAGTCGACTGCGGTTTGAGTCCCGGACCCAGTGGCTTAAACTCATGCCGGGCGCGTGTTCGTGTGTGCCCAAGATCCCGAGAGGAGAATGGAGGAGAAGGGATTGTGGCGTGGCCATCCCCCCGTGGGGTGATTTCTTGCTTTCTGTCTCTCTGTCTCTCTGTCTTTCTGGTGAGCACACGCACCCTATAGCAAAAACCTCTTAAAAAAAAACAAAAAATGAAACTCCCAGGTGCTTAAGATGTGCTGTCTCCTCCCCTTTTCTTCTCGGGATGGCTGGCTGTCCTTGGCCTAGCCGCGGATGGCCGACTTGCCGTCCTGTCTCTGTCTACAGATGTGGAGATTGAGACCGTCTCTTGCTGACCCCGCAACACCAGCGTCTGAGTAGATGGTGGATCAAAGTGGCCAGATTCGACGATCAGAGATAGCGATGGAACAGTCCAGAAACAGAAAGGCCAAGGAGCATACTGTCCCAGAAGCACCCTCATTAGCCGACAATAACTCTTTGATTTCACCCAAAACCCGGTAGAAGCTCCTCGTCCCCACCCTTTGGAGCTGATGCAGCTCTCCGCATCGGGGCTCTTTCCGCCTCTGGAAAGTGAATAAATTCTTTTTTATCCTTTTCTCTCTGACTGTGAATTCTTTCGCAGTCGGCTGCCCTCCCTGACAGGTTGCAGAGATCACCCTGCGAGTTGGTGCTTAGCTTTGGTCTGGAAGTTGTTGGATGCCTTGTATCTATTCTGGGTCTAAGTGTCGCCCGCGTCCACTAGCTGGAAGTTTTACTTTGAAACCTCATGATCTGGGACCAGCAGATAGCATAATGGTTGTATTGCTGGACTCCTACACGGCCAACTGCGGTTCAAGTCCCAGACCTGGTGGCTTAAAACTCACGCTGGGCACTTGTGCATGAATGCCCAAAAGCCCAAGAGGAGACTGGATTGTAGAGTGGCCATCCCCTTGCTGGGGGTGATTTCTCGTTTTTTGTCTTTCCAGTGAGAGCACATGCCCTAAGCAAAAATCTCTCTTAAGGAAAAAAAAAAAGAGAGAAGAAACCTCATGACCTTTAGCATTAAGAGTTTAGTGTCTGATGTCTTCCTCACGTACTGGGGAGAGCGCGGAGGAGGGCCGCCCACACGCTGCCCTACAGTGGAGCTGCGGCAGAGCGTCCTGCTGCTTCATAACCGAACACCCGAGTCTGGTGACTTACGGGGAGCGAAGGGCTATTCAGCTCACGGGTTGGTCCACAGGCCAGGGGCTGCGTCTGACGAGAGCCCCCTTGTAGGGAGTCCTTTCTGCAGTCTCAAAACAGCACGGGCAGCGCGGGGCGCCCCATGGTGAGCCAGCAGGAGCAGGCCTAATGTCTGTGTCTGTTCTTGTAAACCTGCGGGAGCCCGCCATGGAGGCCCTGTGGTAGGCAGTTAGCCGTGAGCGGGCAGCCCTAAGAGAAAAGCGAAAGTCTCATCTAGCCCCGGGAGCCAGGAGGGCGAGGCGATTTGCCATCTTCCTTCCTTGGGGCCTGAGGGAAGCACACAGGGATGATTTGTAGATTTTTCTCTTATCAGAAAGACCTAAGCAAGTGTTTTTTGGTCAATGCCCTAATTCCCATTAGGGATATGGACTAATTGGGCAGTCTAATTGGGGCAAACTGGCTCGCACTGGGCATGCGCGATTAGGTGATCAAGTTCCTCATTCTTTACCGGTGAGGCAGGTGCGCAGGTGCAGGGAAAGAACCTGTGGATTCAAATTCAAAGGAAGGACATAGGCGGTGTAAGGGGCCTCCCACTAATGAATATTCATGACCTCTAGTAATAAAAATAACGGTTAACTAGTACCAAGCGCGGTTGCCACCTGGCAATCTGCCAGCCCAACAACCTTTCTGGGTGTACTTCCTTTCTATTAAATTGTTTTTCTACCTACTTCGTTCCTGGTTGCGGTTTCATTTTGCACCTAGGGACAGATCTCTAATTTTAGTGATCTGGACCCAAAGAACCAAGGGCTTCACAGCGCAGCTAGACACTCTCCCATCCGTTAACATAATGGCGCCGGGACTGGGATGGTGCTTTCTGGGATGGTGCTTTCTGGTGCTTTCCAGACCGCTCTCTCCCGGCTGCAACCACTGTCTTCCCCTCGAACATCAGACGAGGCCTGTGAGTATGAACTCTGCCAGGCTTCGCGGGCTCTCTGCAGTCTCCAGCTCTAACTTCTGGCCACCTTCTCTTCTGGGTTTTGGATTTCTGGAGCCCTGGGCACCCCATCTCCTTTCTTTCTTTTCCAGATTTATCAATTTTGGGTATGGAGTTTGTTAAAAACAAGACCTTTTCCAACCTTTTTTCCCTCGTCATTAATCCACTTTTTGTGTACAGGGCGTTTTGCCTCTTTAGGTGCCTTCGCATACTAGTGAGCAGGAGGAAGAGGTTTCGACCTCTGACGAGTCTCACACAACACTGGAAATGGGTCCGGGGAAGAGGTTTTGACTTCTCCTTTCAGACTTTCTAGAGAGAGAACTGGGAAGGCTATCAGGGGAACTCTCTTGGAAATGGTCCCCGGCTTCGGGACAGGGCAATTAGAGGCTCACAGGCCCTCGGATAGGTGCACTAACTCCGGGGGTATGGGGGAGAGACATCTCCCTCCGTTCTCCTCACTCCAGGCAGCTAGCACAACCCGGTGGAGGTTTGTTACCTGGATTGGCTCTGCAGGGACGCCTCGGGCCTTTCTAGGCATGCCTCTAAATTATTCTTCGATTCCAAGGAACTCCCCACTGGGGCGCATCCTCTCTCACTATGATCAGTTTGACCCTCAATCTCTTAGGAGGAGACTCATGTTCCTTTGTAATACTGCATGGCCACAGTACAAGTGGACAGAGGAGTAATTCAGCCAGTAAAATGGGACCTTAGATTATCATTCCATTACCCAGTTAGATAATCTAGTAGGAACCAGGGAGGGTGGACTGAAGTGCCGTACATTCAGGGTTTATGGCCCTCAGATCTGACCCAAAGCTTCGTCTAGGCTGTATATCGCCAGCAACTCCACCCATCAAAACTATTCCTTCCTTTTCCCAGAGATGGTAAAACAAGACTTAAAACCTGAGCCTAAAACTCTAACCCTAGCTTTTTAATCTGCAGAAAGTTCCAGAAAGAACTATCCTTAGGACCTAGCACCGCTCAGCAGAACTTCTGAGGGTGGCCTCTTCAGTCTTTTACAATCGAGACCTAGAGGAAGAGGACAGGGTTAAGGCAAGGGAAAAGCAGAAGGAAAACAGGCAGGCTCAAGTCATTGCTGCGTCGGTTGGGCAAAAGTCACCTCCTGGTCTCCCTAGGAAATCCCTAGTGACCTGCGATCACTGTCAGACGCCTGGACACAAGAAGAACGGCTATCTACTAAAGCCTCCACAGAAGCCTTGCCCCAAATGTGGCTGACCAGGCCACCGGACGAGGGACTGCCCTGGGAGTTCTGGGACCCCCGGGTCAGACCCTGAAGAGGCCTCAACAGTGGCCCTCCAATGAGGATGCCCTCCACTCCAGTCGGCTCCCGCGACAGCCTTCAACATCATGGGGTCGGAGCCCAGGGCGACCCTGGACGTGGCAGGTAGGACCCATGCTTTTCTTATTGACACGGGAGCCGCCTACTCAGCACTTGCCGCCCATGCCGGAGCCCCCTCCTCTGACTCTCAACTCATTGTGGGGTGTCAGGTAAACTTGCTCATTGCCCTCTATCCCCAGTTCTCTGCTGTGCTTGGGAGGACGTAATTTTCTCTCATCAATTTCTAATTATACCTCAGTGCCCTACTCCCCTCATGGGTAAGGGATATCCTCAGTAAGCTGGGTGCTCAGTTAACACCGAGACCTAGCACACCTGCCTTTTTGGGACTGTTATTAGACCCTGATCCTAAAATATGCCAACAAAACAACCTTATTCCAAAAAAAATCAATCCAGAAGTTGGTGATAGACACACCAGGAAGGGCAAAAACAGCTATCCCTGTTAAAATTAGGCTTAAGGATCCTAATACCTTCCCACATAAAAAAAAAGACTTGCTTAAACCTGAGGCCATTCAAGGGCTTCAACTAATAATTACTAGACTCCTACAGGCTGGCGTTATACCCCCTGTGAGTCACTCTGTAATTCTTCCAGTTTAACAGTAAAAAGGCAGCTATTCCCGTTCACCCATTGGTGCTAAACCCTTATACTGTTTTGGGAGAGGTGCCCCCAAATTCTCCTTAGTTTTCAGTTTTAAGTCTTAAGAATGCTTTCTTTTGCATTCCAGTAGATAAAGATTCCCAATTCTTGTTTACTTTTGAGTAAAGAGAGAAGGGAGCACCTCAGCAATTAACATGGAGAACGCTCCTTCAGGGTTATGATGCCGAAGGCCCACATGGTTGGTTTACAAATAGAGTTAAGCTTCATCTCTACATCGCCCAACAATGGATCATTTTTTTTTTTTTTGAGAGATTTTCACTGTAGGGCGCGTGCGCTCGCCAGACAGAGAGAGACATAGAGACAGAAAGCGAGAAATCACCCCCCGGGGGGATGGTCATGCCACAATCCCTTCTCCTCCATTCTCCTCTCGGGATCTTGGGCATGCACGCACACGCGCCCAGCGTGAGTTTTAAGCCACCGGGTCCGGGACACGAACCGCGGTCGACTACGTGGGAGTCCAGCGACATAGCCATTACGCTAACTTCTGGTTCCCAACAATGGATCATTTTAAAGGGGCTTCATGACTCTTGTCATTTTGGAAGGGACTCTTTACTCCACCGTTGCAATTCTATATTTGTAGGCAAAAACTTATCTAAGGTTATTAGGCAAATTTGCCAAACATGAGTATGGAAGGCCTTTCCTTCACACAGACATAGCAGTGGATGTAGAAACCAATGCCATCCAGCAATATATAATCACACTTCTCAGGTCCAGAAGGCTCTCCAGTCTTATGGGGACCAGGTCTTGCCAGCAGCTACCTCTCGGAGTTAACCCTTTCCAACCAGGAGATGAAGTAGAGACCTAGAGAGACAAGGATCCTGAAGGCCAACCTCAGCCTATTTGGAAGGGCCCCTATACTGTTCTTTCAACCCCTACTGCAGTAGAAGTGGCCAGCATTCCCACCTGGATCCACATTCACGGATCAAGCTGGCTGCTCACCTGGGAACTCGCCAGACTTCTCACACTTACACCTGCGAGCCTCTGGAGGCCCTTCGATTTCTTTTCAAGAAGAACTCTTCCTCAGATAAGTAATATGAACCCAGTCTTTTCCTGCTCCTGCACGTTCTTACTCAGGGATTTGCGACAACATTGCCTTCTTTTCAAGGTCTTCCGGATGCTTATACTCTCCTTAATCGTACTGCTACTGTTTCAAGTCTCACAGGACCCTGTTGGCTCTGCCTGACTACACATAGCTGGGGATATGTTCAAGCAGTACCATATGAACAATGGGCCACTCCCAGCTCCTCTCTCCACAGACATTAAACCAACGAATTCTTGGGGAGAAAAGGCAACCTTAGATATTCAGTCATTTTCTAGATGGGGTACGGATCTCTGAAGTGACTAGAGATGGAACTATGTCTTCTCCTTCTGGAGTTCTTTATTCCCACATAATCAATGCAGACGATGCGCATTATCCAGTCTGTATTCTCAGCAATACTTCTCGAGGAACTCCCACTGGATCACTCCAAAGGGATAATTGTGATCATATTTACCTTATGGGCTCTTCAATACTTGTCAATACCTCAAGGGGAATTCCTCTTATAAAAGGACGTAACCACATAACAAATTTCATACTATATACATGTCCTAGGGCAGCAATCCCCACTTTCAAATTTCAATATACTAACAAGTCACTTTTCTGCCAAGGTAGACCTATAGGACCTCCCTCTTGGACACCACTGATGGCCACATCGCGAGACAATTGGCAGTTGCTTAATTACACCAACCATACCCAAATGTTTTGGGGACCACATACGGGGCACTTTATACCTGGAACATTTTAACTCATTCCAACACAAAGAACACCCATTGTGGACTCCAATTACAACAGCTAACTTTACCTCTCAGGGTGTGACTGTTAGTGGAACACAAGTCTCTACTGTATTCCAGGGTGGCTCTATACGAGCTACAAATAAGATCATAAGGCAAGAATCTTTCTCTTTTGTTCAGTATTAAGTTCTGGGCCAAACTTAATGCCTCTCGGGGAGTTTACTGGATCTGTGGGCATTGGGCTTATTTAGTCCTCCCACCTGGCCGGACAGGCCTCTGTTCATTAGACTATATAATCCCTGATATTAAAATGGCATGGGGAAACGCCTCCTTGCCCATTCCCCTCAGAACAAATGCTAGGCTATCCAAATGAGCAGGACCCCTAATTCTCTTGAGCATCACTTTTGGTGCTCTTACTGTTATAGGGGGTATGGCTACTGGCAGTAGCTCTCTCGGACTGCAACAGCGGTTGTCTGCTGAAACAGCTGAAGCTTTCAGAGTTACAGCAGAAAGCCTAACAAGGAAACGGGAACAATTAGATTCCTTGGCAGGTGCTGTTTTACAAAACCGCAGAGCCCTAGATCTTCTCACTGTGGGAGAAGGGGGAACTTGTATATACTTAAAAGAAGAATGTTGTTTTTACGTTAATCAATCTGGCTTAGTTCAACAAGATGTTAAAAATCTTCTTGAAAAAGTCACAAAAATGGAAAAACTAGGATTTTCCTCATGGAACAATACAAACTGGCTTTTAAGTCTCTTGTTGCCACTAGTAGGCCCGGTTACAACGATCATCTTAATCATTAAGCTTTGGCCCTCCGTTGTTGCAGGCCCTGACTAAACTGCCAACCGAATACAATCTATCTTTGTTACAACATCAACCAGTGCCTAATAAGGTTGACCTCTCCCCTCTAGACGCAGCCGCTATAGCTTCTGTGATTCACATGAGGACACCTCTGAAGTCTCCGCCTAATCTTGGGGCCAGCTTGACAGAGCAAGGACTGAGGCCCTGACTCCCCTCTCTTCGGCCCATTGGTCAGCTGGAAGAAGCTACAGAAGAGACCTTCAGACCATTTTTCCTGCATGATTTCAGTCCCCACCTTCGAACACCATGGTCTGATTTAGTTTTTTGGCCTCGATCCCATCACAACCATAAATCAACACCCGGATGTGGGGGAGACACATTCCAACCGTAGCAGGAGACATTCTTCAGGCCAGCGTTCCAGCCCACAGTGCCGCTAAGGACAGAAATACTGGAAACCACGTGATTATGAGTAGAAGTTTATTCAGTTCACGGTTTGCAGGGCCAGGGTTCAGGGGCTGCATCTGGGGAGGGTCTTCTTGTGAATAACACGCTGGAGGATGTCACATGTCAAGATGTGTGTCTATGTCTGAATCTTCTTATAAATCCACACTTTTCCAAATGGGGCCTCACACTGATGCCAGATCACTTCCCCAAACCCCGTCTTTCAGCACCATAACTGAATTAGGCCCTCACCTCCTCAGCACCATTACAATGCTGTTTTCCATACATGAATTTGGGGAGCACACATTCAAACCACATCATCCCACCCTAGCCCCCTAAGTTCATTTGATTTTCTCACACAAAATACTTCCATCCCATTCCGATGTCCCCCAAAGTTTTAATTAATTGCAACGCCAACCCAAAAATCCAAAGTGCAGCTGTGAGCCTGTGAACTCAACTAAATCAAAACAAATTCACACTGGGGCCAGCATGTGGCATGGTGGTTACAGTGCTGGGCTCCCACACGGCCAGGCCTGGAGGCTTGCTTTCTCACTTTCCCTTCCTCTGGCTCACTCTGGTCAAATTCAAAAATAGTAATAAATAAAGTTGAACAGATAATTTAAAAAACCACAAATTACATATTTTCAACATACAATGGTGGGAGAAGCAGGGGGTAGACATTCTCATTCCACAAAGAGGAAGGAGTATCAGGCCCCAAGCAAGACTGAAACACAAGAGGACAGACATTAAGTCTTAAAACTCTCAACCTTTCACTCCATGTGTCACATACTTTTTTTTAAGAGAGATTTTTGCTGTAGGGTACATATTCTCACCAGAGAGACAGAGAGAAAAGGAGAGACAGAAAGTGAGGAATCACCTCCCGCAGAGGGATGGCCATGCTGCAGTCCCTTCTCCTCCATTCTCTCTGGATTTTGGGCATGCACGCACACACACCCGGAGTGAGTTTTTTATGTTGCCAGGTCTGGGACTCGAACCGTCGTCGACTAGGTGGGAGTCCAGCGAGCAACCATTACGCTCCACATGTCACATTCTGATCACACGGTAGGGTCTGGGCCCCCAAAGCATCAGGCGGCCTTATCCCATTTTGCTGGGCTCAGTCTACCCTTCAGCTCTCTTTGTTTACGGCCTCAGACCTGTAGTTCTACACTGGTGTGGAGAGCTGTGACGCTCCAGTGTTTGAGTCTTAAGGGTGTCCCCAGCCCTGCAGCTCCAGTAGCCTTGCCCTGGTAGGAGTTTCTGCAGCAGGTCAAACCCCGTATTCCCACTTGGCATTGTCCTACTGGGGGCTCTGGGTGGTGGCTCTACCTCTGTGACAAGTCTCTGTGTAGGCCCCGGGTGGTCTGAGACAGGGTCTGAAATGTGGGTGGAGGCCCACACAGACACAGCTCTTGAATTCTGCAAGCTTGCAGGCATTATCTCCACGGGCGTCCTACCGAGATCTGCTGTTGCGCGGTCGTGAGTACCAGCCTTGACCGTTCCTGGTCAGGCTTTCTTCAGGCTGCTTGAACCACAGCCTGGGCTGGGGAGCACTGCACCATGAAGGTGACTGGGAAACAGTGTCCCGAGACAACCCCGGGCAGGTCTCCCACCCCCGGGCCCCCAAACCATTCTATTCTAGGCCTCTGGGCCTGTGATGGGAGGGGCAGCCCTACCCTTGGGGCCATTTCTCCATCCTCTTGAGACTGGCAACTGGACCTCCTTGAAAGGTGTTTACCTCTTTAGCAAACTGCAGGTCAGCCATACTCGGC